CCAGCCCTATATCTGTGTGTGTGCGTATCTGCTGCATACATACATACACAGCACACCAAGAGAGACATTTCCCACCTCACGCGCTTAACCACAAAGCGTGACGTAGCTACTGAAAGAGGTGAACGGCATTTAATCACGCGTAAGTTAATGACTTAAACGCGCTTTTATTTTTGGCCTCTTGATGTAAATCCAAACCAGACAAGCGGAGTCCTCTGGTCAGACGGCTGGAAATTCCTCTGCGTGAAATCACGTTGGTGGTCTCCCGGCTCAGCACCTTCTGAAGAGCCGTACAGTGAAATATCCTTCCGTACCACTAATGAATGCGCCCACCCACACTGGAGCTGGTGCCCCCTAAGAACTCAATTCAAGAACAACTTTTTTAAACTCATAAATGAAATCAAAGGGCTCATTCTATGAGCCAAAGAGCTCACAATTTTAGGTGGGACGGTTAATGGGTGGTTACTATAGGTTGTCCCCTTGGTTTGCAGTATACAGCCTTGGAAGAAAAATAATAAGCAGGATACTGAATATGTGTACAGCAGTCCAATTAATTACATTTCATCCACCTCCAATGAATACACAAATTGTTGCTGCCCTGGTTACTGTACAGAGATTGAGTGACTTGCTCAGCATCAACCAAAAACGCAAGTAAAGTCACAAGATCTTGGTTTACTTTCCTGTGCTCAGACAAGACCTAGATGTTAAACAATTCTAGATAAACAATCACTAAGCCAACAAAAACTCTCAAATTGTCTATGAAAACTTGAGGAAGAGAGTCCAGGAAATAAATTTTAAGACTACAGCCACTGAACTCTCCCAAGGACACCTGGTCTAGTGGAAGGTGTCCCTGCCCATGGCAGGGGGGTTGGAACTGGATGATCTTTAAGGTCCCTTCCAACCCAAACCATTCTGTGATTCTATGATCCTATCTTGTGTGAATGAGCACTTGTCATTTCACACGTGAAAGCCATGTGGCAATGGGCAGAGGACTGAATAACCCAGTTGTGCTGCTGAAGTGAGACATGGATCTAATCCTGCGATGAGGGGATGACTCCTTCGGAGAGGCCTGTTATAAAATTATCGAGTGGCACGGGGGGTGGAAGGAATCAAGCCCGTTGTAATTGAACTGACTTGAAATAATAAATGCACACACTTTCTTTAAACACAGCTTGCCACATCCTGAGAATCTGGAATCAATTCCTTCCCTTTCAAGAAGCTTAAAAGTGGTGGGACTTTGATATGGCATGAGCATGTTTGCTTCTGGGCTTACAGCCCTCGCCAGCCCGTTCCAAACCTTTCAACGTTTTTATATCATAAGACAGAAAAGTTAGGAAAACAAAGATGGAAAAAAAGAATCAGAAATTCAGGGAACTATTAAATCAGGGCAGCCTAGCTGCCAAATACCTTTGGTAAGTAAACGAATCATGATCAATAACATATTGCCACACAGACTTACAGAAGAAGGTTATCACCTGCTTCTGTGCCAGGCATAAAACATAACAACGTGTGGTTAATGAAGTACTGCATGAATCCAGAAAAAATGTACTGTTTTTTCTCTGTAATGTTAAAGCATTTTACTTCAAAGTAATTTTAACTCATCCAGAAAAAACGTGATTTCTTCCATGAAAACTTTGTCAAAATCAGTATGTTACCATAAAACACTTCTCTCTTGACAACGCTGCATCTGTAAGCGGAAACCGTCTTGATAAAATGAAACCTCAACGCTGCATCTGTAAGCGGAAACCATCTTGATAAAATGAAACTTTGTTAAGGGGATGTTTCAGCCCTGATTTAAAGCAGCTTGCTTTATATATTCACATATTTGCCAGCAGAGGGTATCACAATATTAGAAACAAACAGACATATGTATCACTGCGCCTCTTCATTTACATGCAAGAATTCAGACACACACTAAACTGGGAAATTACAAATCTTGTTTTCTTCAGTAACTTTTTCACCATCAGAAAAAAAATAGTCATTTAGCTACTTAAAGGCTACAGACTCTGTTATCAGTGCCTTCTCACCACCTCTCTCAGGATAGAAAATATTGCAACGATATAGCCAAGTGATGGCATCACTTGTCATCTGAAATTGTTACAGCCATGACCCTGGCTGTAAACCCCCCTGGAAGGAACAGCAGCTTGGGCTTATCTGTGGTGTGCATTAGGTTCCTATTAATTCTCCCTTCCAGTAGCCTCATACTGCATAAATCTTTCTAGTTATCCCACCCACTTCACGCCACTTTTCCGCAGAGAGGTAATAGCCACAGGCTGCAGTGAGAGCTCACATTACGTAGACCGCATCATCTCTGCTAAACCAGGATGCTACCATGAATGATCATACATAATTACACCTAACCCACACTTCTCGCAGATGGAGGTAGGTGGATGCCACAAATTCCCAGCCTGATATCCCACACGCCAATGAATTCACCTCCCTGACTCCCAGGTTAAGAGAACACAATTTAAACAACCTGGTGTTTGATGCTTTAGCTTACTTGGTACCCACCACTCTCCCATGCCCAATTAAAAGAAATTAAAATTATTTTTTATATACGAGTCTGGGTTCTCTGTTCTATTTTTGATTTATTACCCAGTCTTTTGCTATCTGTGTATTTTGATCACGTGCAATCGATGTTAAAGGTGTGGCTTTCCAGAGTAACCCAAACACTTGACTCAGCTGGAACTAGGAGGCAATACAGAGGATGATTATGAGACATATCGTTACCTTTATCTGAGAGCTGAGGAGTATAGAAACTACATAAGATAACAACAAGCAGCAATCTCAGTTCTGGATCTTACCTGATCACATGGAGACAGGGCAAGGCATATTCTCCTAAGTAACTGTATTTTAATTTTTAAAATGCTTTCTATTGCTACAGAAATATACACAACTACTTCTCCTGTTAACAGGGAGGAAAAGGCATCAGAACCTGCTGCAAAACAGCATGTATCACATCAGGGCTAGAGCACCAGGACCCTTTCTGATTGGTTTTACAATTTTAAAACATGCCAACCAAAAATTAGTAAGTTCATTATGAAATATGTACACAGTGGTGCCCTCCTTTCTTTTTTGCACACAGTCTTTTCACTGCTCAAGTGATCTAACACAATTACCTTTTAATTAAAACTCATTGTCTGCTACCCAAATCAGCCTTCAGAATAACTGCTGTAGGTCCTGATGAACTGGATAGGAAAGTCCCTGGGATAAGGAAAAGCTGTTCTTGCTTAGTCCTTGAAAACAACAAGTCAATCACTCTCCTGAAACTGAGGTCTACGTACCACATGGCATAAGTCTGCACTGATAGTCCCAAGGACTCCGAGGTCCTCGGGTACTTTACTCCACTGACAGAAAGAACATGTAGGTACTACTGATGCTCTGCTCATCTCTGCTTTATTCTCCTTGCACTGCAACACTTCAGCTGTAACAAATTAAGCTAAAAGCTTTTCTCTGTTTCAAAGAGGAAAGTTGAGTACGTTCAGAGATTGCAACGCGCCTGGATATCACAAAGGCACGAACCAGCTACAGAATGAAGTGAGGACGTTTGCAGGGAACCAGGCTTGTTGTTCTCTTGCAGCTTAACATCCCCTTGTAACCTTGTTGTGTTTAACTGCTATCGGGAAGGATTTTCCTTTCACTTTCAAAAGTACCTAAACCAGGAGTCTGTTAGGGCTAGGGGAAGCTCCCATTAATCACGCTGCAGGTAGTAAACATGGGTAGACCCAGTCTGAGCACTTTGCGGGGTTGGATTCCTTATCTCATAGTAGCAGATATCTGACCTTGAATTCCAGCTCCGGTTATAGCCAGATGCAGACACCTCTCGGACAGCCATTTACTACCGTCTGGAGCTACCAGCTGTTACGAGTCCGGGGATTTGCATACTGCAGAGTCACTGAGAAGCGACAAGTTGGGATTATACATGTGGACAGATCCCCGTGGCTGTTTTAGATCGCGAGGGGCAGCACGGCTGAATTTATGATTTACAGTGCTGGAGCAGACCATAAAAATTCCTTGTAAATGGCCAAGATATTTTATTTTCCCTGCAACATCTATTTAGTCTAAGTCTTAATTTATCTTCCTTTTACAACTTCCTACAGAGGTTAGCTGAGCATCCCATTAGCATTAGGCAAAAAAGTAACTTTTTAGCATCCCTGAGAAGTGAAGCACTATAATTATTTCCTTCTGTTAACAAAGCAAAAATATTACAGAGCAGATTGTTATCTGACATAAATCATCATTTACCCATTTTCATCTCATGGGTCAGCCCGAGGCAATGAAATATAATTGCACAGATGAAATCTGTGGCAGAGCTGGAACTTGAAAAAACCCTAGTCTCCTCCGAGTGATATGAGTGCACGGTGTTTAACAGGCCTTAGGTCTCTGCCTGCGAAACTAGTCATGTAACGTAAGGTGTACGTCAGTGAGTGACTGCAAATATTCTACCAGCTCATCTCAAGGGATATGGCAGTGTAAATCCATTAACTTTCATGGAGCAACAGGAGCTTAGACTAGCTGAAGTTTTGCCTCTCTGAAGGGAAGGGAATGTGGAGAAGAAAAGCAATTTCATTACAAAGACAGTGTAGGATGCGTGTATATGTATGGCATCCAGCTTCTGAGGGGGGTATTTCTGTTGACACACAAACATGTGAGGGAAAATCTGGAATTTACAGAGTGCAATTACAGTTGTTAAAGCCACTTCTCTCATTTAATTACTTCATATTTAATGTCTTGATACAACTAAATTAATATGAGCGAATTAGCTATAATAGTGTAACATAATCATGAGGTAAGAGTGCCAAGAGTGTGACGGCCACACCTAACAAATTATGAAGGGTCAGGGCATGGGTTGCTCTCACCCAGTCTTTCACTGATGAGTTTTTAGCACTAGCACAGATTTGGGTCCAGTCAACACACACTCCTCTAAGCAGTGTCTGGGAACAGCAGAGGAGGTAGCTTGGGCCACCAGACACTTCCAGTAAGCAGTATGGGATCCTGTTCTGTCAAGGAAGCTGGGATGTATGGATAAGAGCCATGTCATGACAGTTGGCAAAGGGGCTATTAAACACTCTGTGGCCTGTTTTATTTACTGGTATAGTTAATTCAACTGTGGACATGTGAATTGGGTCCACTGAACCAACCATCTCAAGTTGATCAGCAGCAGTGTCTGATGTTATATGAACAGTGATGACAATGAAGTGATAGGAGAACAGCAAAATTATTCCATTTCTAAGCACACAAACTCCCTGGCACATTTGGTAATGATCCAACTCACCAGCATTATCCTGCTGCTTAGTATTTTTGATGTATGCAGAAAATTTGGAGAAGATATCGATTCCAGCAGTGTTTGACTCCCGGTGCTTAGCAGCCAGCTTGGGGTACCTGAAAAGGGAGAAGCAGTGTTGAGAGTAACATCTTGTTACCAGCAACACTGTGATGAGTACAAATACAGTTTAAAAGGATAAAGAAAAAAGCCATGTACGAGGAACTGCAATAAACACTGTCATTCGTCTCAAAACAACAGCTTGGCAAGTCCTTCAATAATACCTGTGTCTGTCAAGGCAGGCATTTGGATAGTTACACAGGAACATCTTCATGACAAAGGTAATCGCACTGGTGTCACCACGATCCAAGGTACAGTGGCCTTAAATCAGAAGGAAGCATAAATTTCCAGAAAGGTGCACGGGAGTTTGGCAACCAGCTCTTTCTTCTATGAATGGCAGTTGTGTCTAATTCCCTACGCTGAAAATGTGCTCCAGGTTGTAATAGCAAGGCATGTTAGTATTACCCAGGTGAAGGAACATAAAGTTTTCAGACTCTGAATTGTTTTTTATAGACATCTGGTGCAAAGGAATATGTCGATTTGAAAGCCCAACACAAACTAACAACTCCTACTGATTTCAGTGGTCTTGGACCAGAGTCTAAAAATTTTAAATATCTGATCTCTTGCCTCAGGACTGGCCTATAGCTGCTGATTCACTTGGAGGTAAAACATTCCATAAGGAACCAAGCCAATTTTCATTAATTCATAGTTTTTAAGCCCCAAATCACAAGCCAACAGCTTTTTTTCCCCATTATCCTTGTACTGAGTCCAAAACATTTGACTAACTAAGGCATATCTGGTGAATCTAAACCTTTCCTTGGTACCTTGTTCCAATGGTTATTCATTCATACTGAAAAAAAAATCTGTGTCTTATTTCTAATCTGAATCTATAGTTTAGTTATAACTTCCAGTCATAGGCTCTTGTCATTTCTTGACTGGAATAATGAGCACTTTTCTGCCTCCAGAGCCTCTTGTGCTCTGTAATCAGTTCTCCTTCCAACCTTTCTAATATACCATACAGCTCCGAAACCTCCAGTTTTTCACTGTAAAATGCTTTTCCTGGCACAGTTATTTTGTGTGGCAATTCTCGGCATCTATTCCAAGTTATTTTTAGCTTTGTAAAATGTGGACACCAGACCCCTACAAAAATTTTTTAGTATTGGTCTCCTTAATTCTGCATACAAGGGCATCCTGAAATGTGTACAGAGAAAACATTCTGCAGTTATTAGTCATAGGAGTAACCTTCACAGATGGAAGTCATCTCACTGAAGCCAGCAAGTTTCATAAATAAATATTACTCCTGTAAGTAAAGATCGTAGGAGGGAGTGCTTTTTAGGAACTCCTCTTAGGACATCTTTCATTCCTAGGAAATGGAATATTGACTGAAAAAATCCCAAGTTCTTACTTTGGAGGTGCAAGAGTCTCTTCCAAGAATTCTTCAATCTTGTTAACATCTGTCTTGACTTCCCCATTAAAAGTCAAGAAAGGTGGGTGGGTCCCAGGAGCCAGATTGTGTAGGTCAGCTGGCTTTCTGCAGAGAAAAAATCATGAAATCACTTATGGTCTTTATGGTCAGGTAGTTGCAGAGATATTTATAGTTCCTACAAAATCAGTTGTTTGCCCTTCCTTTTTTTTCTGCAGTTTGTGGTTAGAAGACTTTGAAACTACCCCAAGCACCCTGTTTAATATAAAAACATTCCAGAAGTGGGAAAAAAAAACCCAAACCTGAATCCCAACTATTTTGTTGTGCACCACAGAATCTCTAGGCTAGATACAAATCTGACTGAACTTGGTGGGGCCTTTCTATAGGGCAAAAACAGGACCATATAACTATTTTCAATTAAACTGAACAATTTTTACCTTTTCAGGTCAACAGTGGTTACGTTGAACACAACTCCTTTGAGCCACAGGATCATGAAGAGGCGCTGGGAGAACGGGCAGTTCCCAATGCTTTCTCCATCTATACCGGCCTGAGGGATGGAAAGACAGGAAAAATAGATTTCAGACTTCTCAGTCCTTTACCTCCCTCAAGATGGAAAAACAGATGTTGAAAGAAAAATAAGCAATGTAAAAGTAACTAACAGTGTCTGTTATTTAATATAGTTTATCATCAGCACAAGAATGGAGTTAGTCCAGGATTCAGCCTTTGCCAGGACCTTGAGAAAGCAACCTAGTGCTTCTCCTGAAGGCACCTATGGGTAAAGGAGACGTGTCCCTTGCTGATGACAACGTCAGGGAAACCGTATATTGTTTCAATTACTCTCATCGCTACAGGACTGCCTGCTTCATGGACAGGCTAGGAAACTCAGGACAGGTCTTCTGCTCTGTTTAAGTCTGTGGGCTGCAGCTTCTGTCACCTCTGCTGATCTGCTTCACAGATTTGCTATCCAAAATGTGGTCTTTCAGATGTAGATTTAAACCCAAGCACTCCCAAACCCAAGTTAGTTCTTGTTCACATCCAGTAAAGCAACAGCCTCAGACACAAACAATCAGATCCAGACAGAAATCTCCATCCGAATCCTTCCAAAGTTCAAGGCAGATTTCAGCCACTGCGTTCAGCCTGTTTCCATCTCTAGTACCTAATGAGTTGCCTACAAACCACTACAAAACAATAAAAAACTGCTAGTCTTAGCATTGAGGAAACAGCCTATTTTTTCCTCTGAAAATTTATGGTCCTTAGCCATGCAAATTCTGACTTTGAGCCACGGAGGGATACAAATAACACTAGCTGAACTGAGCCAAAGCTGCGTCCAAGGACAACATCCTTCTACAGTAATTATGCTTGTGGCCAAAGCTTTCAGGACGATAATGGTTTTGATAGATTTCCATTTTAATTTGTGGTACCATTGTGTTTAAAAGAATCTTATAATCCTGGTGAAGCAACCAGCCTTCCGTTGTTGACCCACATGGGTTGCATAACCGTATTTTAGGCACACAGTGTGTGTCCGAAAATGGCTGATGAAAGAGCTAAGCAAATGCATGCCCTTTTCCTCTGGAGAAAACATTATATTACCCTGTTTGCTCACATAAATTTTATCTTGTTAATATTCAAGCTGTGAGGTAGCATTTGTCTGTCTTAAAGAAGGAATCACTTCTAATTACTGCAGTTCTGTGAAACGTTCGCAGCACAATGAGAACCACTTCGAGATGTGTCCAGTTGCTACACCTAAAGGCCTTGCATGTGCAATGTTTTGGCTGAAAGATTTTCTGGTAGGTGTCACGAACCTTTCTCATGTCTGGAACTCAGCTTTTGATGATTCTGGGTTTAAAAACACATTTCAGATTTCCCATCCACCCAAATATGGAGAGGATGTGCATTCAAGGCTTGGAGACAACCCATCATGAAGTTTAGGGCTACGCAAAGAGGTTTTTTCTGGGTTCAGATTCTGTGTCAAACACTCAGACTCTAGAGACACTTGGATGTGGCAGCACAGTTTGGCTGCATTTTTACCTGAAATTATGGATCTGCAATATCCCTGGCACATGGCATAGGTAAGAATCACCAAACAACGTGGGTATAAGAGTGGTATGGCATTAGGATGAGCAAGAGAAGATACATTTTCCCATCTACCTGAGGCATGAGTAGCCTAGTTTTGCAAAACTTTATTAATTAAATAGTTTGCTCTGCAAATTTCATCATAAAACAATGACAGTGTTACCGTGGCGATACAGGTACCACCATATTGCATGCAATAATTACTGCGAAGTCACATTTCTTGTTTTGGCTTTGGCTTCTTAAACCATTGCCAAGAACTATTAAATTCTTACCCTTCCTGGAAATGCTATATATAATACCCTTCCTAAATGCAATAGGAGAAAACAGCGATACAACACCAGATTTGCCCTTGGCTTTTTCACAACCATAATCATATTTTTCCTAATGGAGTTGACTAACTGAGTCAACAAACAATATATTACAAACCTAAAATCTGAAGAAAAACAGATCGACGACTGAATTAGAGGGCAAAAGAGTGAAGACAGAAGGGCCGATTCTCATCTTACCTTCTCTGGATTTACTTTGGCTTACAACACCGTTGAGTCTGATTCGCTCTTCACCTGACTCGCTTCAAAGTGCGCATAAAACCCCTGTTTGCCAAGTCCTGCACATACCCTGTGAGCAAAGGGGCTTTGTCTCCCAGGAACATGCAAAGCTCCAGCCCTCCTGCAGGTCTCCAGCCTGCACGGAGGCAATCTCCTGCCTATCCTCATCACCCACTGCTTGTGCTGCAATTAATTTTCACCTCTTCTAGGAGAGAGACTCGGGGAGACCATTTTCCTGCTCTCTCCAACTATATATTCTCATACAAAAGTTAAAGGTTACCCAGATCTGCATCTTTTTACACATTCCCCATCCTGCAAAACAATGGTGAAAAACCTTCTGAAGACCAGAGAGCATTACTGGGGGAATAAAGCAGATGAATGGCAATGAAGACACAGAAGCGACGGGTCATGTGAGGTTAAGGGATGCTGAAGTCACTGGGGATGGAAGAAGGATGAAATAAGATTCACTTAGACATCAAAAATAAAATTAATTGTGCAGGTCAAATGAGGCCTCCAACAGCCCCAAATGGTCAAAATATCTTCCCAACACTTCCAAAAGAGTGGGAAACATTAATTGCTAGAGACACATTGGGAATGGACAGAGGAAATTCCAGAAATGAAAGATAAACTAAAGTACGGTATGATCTCTGTTCAAAGCTCCTGGATCTGGAAGCCAGGCTCATGATTTGGGTGGAGTCTGACTCATGGGTTTTGATCTCATGTGACTGGCATAATTGAAAACGCTACCACAAATCACAAGGCAAACTGGTGACAGAGGAGGGAACAGAATCAAAATCTCCCCAGCAACACAATTTATCCATTAAATTCAGCTCTTTTTCTCCAGAAATTACAGGCGAGGCTCTGTTGGTTTTGTGAATCGTTTCTCATTGCTTCTAACAGCAGTCAGTAATTCAACGTTCAGCACTCAGAAAGAGCAAAACCTTAGTAGATAATAACCTCAAAGGCTTATCAGTGTCTCGAGATACCTTGTGAAGTCTATTAACTCCCAGGAGGAGATGAGGAAGAACAGAGAACTTCCCAGGCTCAGTCACTCAGTTTCAAAGAAAACCAGCTTGCTTAAAGCACCCTGGCAGCACCTAAATACAAGCCTATTATGTATCTGTCCTAGGTTAAAGGATCAGAAATGCAGGAATTAAATAATACCTTCATCAGGATGAAGAACTCAAACAGTGGATGGAAAGAAAAGAACAAATAATTGGCAAGCTGGAGAAACATCATTTATCCCTGCTGTTATTCGTAAGCGAGCACAAAAGCTTTCTCACATCGCGTCCCTGAAGCACGGCAAAAGTGATCAACCACTTATGAAAAGGAGCAAGTTGGTGATATGTGCGCTCCCCCTGCCAGTTACACTGGATATTTCTGATTTAATGACTGCAACGAGGGATAGGCTTGAGGCTTTGTGGGCACTGGGATGAAGGAAAAAGAGGTTTTGAGGTGCACTATTACACCCAAAGCAGTGAAAGGGTTTTCACAGCCCCCTTCTCCCTGCGGAAGGGCAGTCCCTCCTGCTCCCTATGGTGAAGGACCTCAGAAAAGGCAGATCACTACAGTGACTGTGGAAGAGTAAAGCTGCTTCAAGGATTTGCTGGGTGAGACTTTCTGGCCAATGCTCATCCCACTGAAGTTTAACTGGGATGCCTAAGGGAAGGTCTCCTGTGCGGGCAAGGCCGTGATGCACATCCAAAAGATGAATCTGGCCACCTTTCACTTTGACCGAATCCAATGAGTGTCTGAATGCAGGTGGGATGAATGTGTACCCCAAAAATAGCAAAGTCCAGAATCCACAGAAGCCTAATTGCTAGAGAATTATTTTGCTCCACCTTGGAAACATCACTTGCTGCTTCACACAAACCTTCACTTATTAGTTTCGCTACAAAACAAACCAACCAAACAAGATGCTTTTCTCCTTCATCTCCAGCTGGTTTGGTACTTCACACCAAGTGATGCAAGGTCCTGCCCGGGGACTCTGTACAGCCACATCGGGCAAACGCCACCGTCGCACCAGCTGCTTGCTGCTGTCTGAGCAATGGCAAGAATGAACAAGATGTTCTCCCTCATTATTTATAAGGTGCTCCTCCTCACACACGTCTGCAATTTTTATTGAATTAATTAAACCTTAAGGATATTTGTGTGCGCAAGTGGGGGATGTACCGACACACTATTAAGGAACGAAATTAAGAGGGTTTGGGGGGGGGAAGGAAAAAGGTCTCAGTGATTTATGAGCTTGTGCCAAATAGTTTTGTAAAGCAGCGGCAGTATCGAGAGCCTCCAGCCACTGCACAGCACAGACGAACAACGCCAACAGGGAGCTCTTCTCAAGGTCAAGCTACTACTTTGCTATAAATGAAATAACTGGAATAAACTTCAACAGTTGTTCCAAAAATACTCCAACTGGTACGCTCACAGTGACGCAAGGCACACAGACAGCCGTATATTATTTTAATTAGTCTTAAGGGGGGAGAGGGAAAGCGAGTTTCATTTCCAGTTATTCCCAAAATATAGCAGCTTTAACAAAATGTATTTAGTCATTAATAATGACTAAGCATCTAGCTTAAAAATGGCAGTGCTGGAAAGGGTTGTATATCAGAAAGCACTGTGTTCTTTCGAAGAAAATAATGTATTTGGGTTTATCTACTCTATTTTAGTTTTCATTGCATGGAGGCCATTCTGCACAACGATCCAGTCCTCTCTTGGACTCTGTGGTAAAGTAGGCAGATATTTCTGATGACACTAAAACACATTTCTTGTGAAAAAGGATCTTAACAAGTTCACAAAAGCAGATAGCCTAATTCACCTCATTGTTTCCCAGGAAGGAATTAAGAGGGATTTGATTTCATCACACCTACAATCAAAATCTAGACTCACATTACACATGGTTACACCCTCTCTGTTTTAAAATTGGGAAAGC